CATTCAAAACGCACTCAGAGCTGGAACAATCCCTAGAATTTCAATTAGAGTGGGCAAGGGCTAACCTGCTGTAGGCTGAATAGGTACATATATGCAAATGACTTTTTCGTGACATCACAGAAACAATGTATTCAAAACAGGCTGTTTCTATATTTACATATGACAGTGTTTAAACTAGACTAGTTATGTCTTGGACTTTGACAGTGTTTACATATATTTGTTTTTAAAAAGTGGGGGAAATGTACTTTTCAATGATATGGGGCATAAAACAAAACTAAATTATTAACAGCAACAATACTATCATACATATCCAGTATAGAGATTCAGTTTCGTTGCCTTTTACAATGTTCTACAAGTTGCTATAAATATGACGATGACAAAGAAAAGACTATAACAGTTATTACTATTAACTATTAACAAAACAATCTGTCTTGGGTTTAATTAGAGTTTCAACTGTAATTGACAGCTATATAATAATTGATATCTGACAGCGACCCCCAATGTTATATTATAATTTCAAAAAGTGGAGAGGACTTTAACAAGACAAGCAAATGAAAAGTAATGAACAGTAGCCAAATTACATTAATGTCGTAATCTTTGGGATTAGGTTACAGATTAAATTTCAAAGTAATTACTGTTCAAAAGTCTTAGGCAGCTAAGTATATTATTTAAAACTCATAAAACACTATATATTGTTTGTTGATGGATGTAAAATAAACATGAATACAGTAAAAATAAAAACAAACACCAAAACAAAACAACCCACAAGAATTCTGTGTTTTTAAGGTAGTTGACCTAATAAGCTGGTTAGAAGAATAAAATTTATTTCCAGATTGATCCTCAATGCCTCTAGCCATTGTGTGAATTTATTCAATTCCATCGCCTGCAAAACTGTTTTAACATAATGAGAGATTGATTGGACAAAGCAGGCACTGTATGATAACCACAAATGACTGCTGTTTATCCATTTATAACAAATTTGAATATAACAATATTTGTTTCTGAAAAAATAACAACTGTGGTATAATGGAAAAACCAAGATAATCCAGTAAAAAATGTGGCTGCAAAAAAAGCAATCTAACCCACAATTTGACCCACAAACATCAATGGTGTAGCTGATTTGCGAGCATAGAGGGCTAAAAGATATTTTGATTTTTTGAAAGCAAAACTACAGTTCCTGAAGCCAGATTATCCCTAATCATGGACTAAATAGGACTTTAATGGTGAAATACTTCATAGATCTAGTCTTAGACTAGGTTAAATATATGTCCAAGAAACCAGCTCTTAGAGATTTGAGAGAAACCATTTTATTTTAAGCTTTACAAAGTATTAAAAATATTGCAATCAATTCTACATGAAACAGGCAAACAAATTCAGTAATTCTGCAACAGCTCAAAGGTTACTAACAACTAAAAGTCTATAGTGTATTACTACTTTTTTGTACAAGTTCTACTCTTTGCAGTATTTCTTAGCAAGCTGAAAGGAGATGAAGGCCAAAACCCAGATAAAGTTTCTGAAGTGAAAGAAAGTTGATATTATCAATGTGCAAGTTAAATGTGAACTCTGTGTTGAGAATGATAAATATATCTGTAACTTCTGTGCTAAAAAAGATCATTTCAGCTTTACATTTGTTCATTGTTTTTATTTAAGCACTATCAGACTTAGAAAGCTAGACAGACAGTGCATCATCTGATAATCTGGTGTTCTTTAGTGTAGCTATGATACCTGAACCCAAGCTCTGGGACAATTCTCTGTGTGTGGCCTATACAGGAACAGAAGAGAAGGGGCCCCAGTACCGAGCTCTGTGGTACACCAGTACTGTCTTCTAGTTAAATGTGTGAACCAATTTGGAACAGGTCCAGAAAGCCCAATCCAGTCTGTCATACAGTTAGAGAATATACAGGAGCATCAAATGCAGGACTTCAATGTTTGCAGTAGTGTTTGTCTCAGATCATCTGCTACATTTATTAAATGGCAATAAAAGTAAAGGTACTTAGTATGAAACTAGAGTGATATTTGCCACACATATTATTTTAATTGAGGAAGTTAACTGGTTGTGATTACTTTTTTATCTTCACTCTGACAGTACAGATTGGAAATTTTGCCAAAGTTACTCAGTGCTGATTACTGAGATTATGATGTTTTGGGGTTGGGATTTAACAACTGCTCTTTTAGGTGCATCTGGAAAAATGCATGTTTCTAAAGAGTAAGTGGGTTATTCCACTAACTAATTATTAACTATTAATAAAAAAAGGATTACATCTCAGAAGTGTATTATTCAGTAACTACATTGAGAACAACACTAGCTGGCTGAGTTATTCCGACATTATGGGTGTGAGGAAGTCTAATAGATGATTTGGCATGGAATAACCCAAATGATAATGTTAAATATTTTGGAAATATCAGTGTCAATCACATATTTGAGTTCATTGAATTTTATGTTAATTTGAACACCCTTGGTCAAATGACGTTTTGCTGATTTTCTAAGTGAAAATAAGTTAACACACACGATAATATGTTATGTGCCATAACTTTTGTACAGTCCACATTTTGTGTTTTATTTTTTAGATTAAATTCAGCAACTAAAGTGATTGTGCATTAAAATGTGCAGTTCTCTGTACAGGAAATCAACAAATGGAATTCGACAAGGGCACCCAGACTTTTGCATGCAACTGTAAACATTTTTCCATTTCTAACTAATCTGAAAGATAAAAGTCTAAAGCGTGATTCACTTTCTTTTTTTTTTTCTTCACTTTTCTAGGCCTTACACAGTAATGGACAGACACAAACTCTTCCTAACTGGTAAAGTTTGCTTTCAATTATGACTTTACTTGCCTACATTACGAAAGTGATTCCAAAATTAATGTGCCAATCATCCCACATTCATTTTCATGCTAAAATCACTAAAATTTTTCTTTGGGGACCAAGACTCCCTCCAACCCACCCCCCATAAAAAGGGTTTGGTTATTGAACTTGTCACCTTTTCCACTGCCTACAAATTTGCATGCCAGTTTAAAGAAAACCTTGAAAATGTGTTCCTCCTTTTTGTGAATAACAATCAATAATTTGTTAGGGTTCACAGTGCCTAGGAGCCTATTGTAATTGTTCAATGTTTTTCTTATTATTGTTCTGATTCAAAACGAATTGATCAGACCAAACCTTAACTCGCTTAGACCTGAAACTTTGTTTCTAGTCTGTGTGTTTATATCTTAGGGTCTAGTCCCTTCCACTCAGGCACATGTTTTTACTTACGGTCCAGTGCACATTTTTACTTATGGTCAGATGACTGGTTTCAGGTAACACAGTACAATGTTTCAAATAACTTTACAATTATCAATGTATTTTTAAAATGCGGATTTTTTTTTCACTATTGTTAATATTGTTAACTGCATTTTTCAAACTAGTCCATGGATTTTGATCCCACTTTTCAAGGTCTTACAATACTTAAAAGGTCCACTGAGCCTCTTTCTGGCATGCTTATCAAATGGTTAATTTCTGAGAACTGGTCATGTTTGCAAAAACTAATGTCCTATTTGTCCTACGTCTTGATTTCTTTGTTAAAAACCTTTTGGACGTTATACAAAGCTCAAAATATCAGTATATATGAATTTTCACATATATCATGTTTAAAGACCACAGCTGAACTTTTATGGCAAATGAAAACCTTTTGATACACCTTGACTCTCTTTGGTTTTTAATCTGGCCCAAACTGCATTAAGCCTCTCTGCCTCAAACTGCAAAAGCCTTACTGAGCTGTTAGTGCTTGGACCCACCCATTGCTAATTGTGGCTTTAATTTTCTTTCTGTTTTCTCTTTTTGGTTGTGAGGTCTAATTGTCCCTTTTCAATTTAAAATCTAGTTGTTGTTTTTTTTATTTTACTTTTAGCTAAAATAATTAAGCCCCAAAGCATTGGTAGCTGAAACGTTATTTTAATACCAGCAGTTGAATATTCTAAGATGTGGAAAATGTTGCAAGTCTTTTTTTTTTTTTGGTTCAGTAGTGACCTCATTAAGTTGAACAAACTCTCTTTATCTTATCATCTCTCTTCACCTCCACAGTTTCAGTGCTGAGCTGCCTGAGTCATGGCTGGGAGGTTCAGGTGCCACAATCAGTTAAAGCTGTTAAGGGCAGCTGTGTGATGATATCGTGCCACACCAGCTCACACAGTGACGTGATATGGTACAAGTATAAAGGTACAGGGTTCCCTGTAGTGTATTCTAGAAACACTGCAGATATAATAGCTGAGTTTAGAGGAAGAACATCAGTGCCTGGAAGTCCCAGTCAGGGAGACTGCAGCTTAAAGATCAACAATGTCCACCAGGAAGATAACGGAATAAGCCTGTATCCATGGATCTATCCAGAAACATCTAGCAACCAATATAAATACATCCTAATAAATGTCTGTGAGTATACAAACAATACAAACATCCAAAACGTGCAGCCAGGAAAATGAGTATGAGAAATGAGAATGGTTTAGTTCATGTGCCTCTTCATATTATACACACTTCGTTATACCATACCTTTTAAAAGATAGCATTCTTGTTTTCCTGCATTTTTTGTAGAAGCGTAATGACTTTTGCCTCCTTTTGACTTTTCACCTCTAAAACATCTGAGTTTTAATTACATCACTGTGTACCAGCAGATGTCATTATCTCCACCTCTGCCACCCCCACCTGTTACCAAGAAAAAACCCTCAGCCAGCTCAGAGACCCTCCCCAATACCATATTTCACTCCCAAATATGTCAAATGCATCATTATGATTTCCCATTCACTATGATTTTAAATGACTTTTAAATTAATAATTACACACGTGATTATGATTTTGGACTACGAAAGTCTTTTGACTAATTAATATTAATATTTGTGCTTTGATTCCAGTGAACCCTGAGGTTAGCATTTCCGTTGAGAACACACAAACGGATGGAAAGTTATTCTCTGCCAACTGCACAGTCCAGTATACCTGCCCATCGTCCCCACCACCGTTAGAATGGATGGGTTTGTCTTACATTTCTAACAACATGACCAGCACTGTGGTCTCAGGAGGACTGTGGACTTTGGTGGCACGTGCTCAGTTCAGAGCAAACCGTCTAGACCACAACAGAACACTCAGCTGCAACAGCACATTCAACGGCAAATCTATATATAGTACAACTGTTATGCTCAACATCTTATGTAAGTAAAATTTACAAGCTGTCATGTTTTCTTCACTTTGTATTGTTAAAAGTGGTGAACCTCAGAGCGATGTTTCATTCTTTCTGTGTAGATCATAATTCAATGCAATGTACACCAGAATCAGACAAAATCATTTCTCAATGTATTTTGTAATAATCAAAATATATATAAAGTGAATGTAAAAATAGGAAAAATGATATACAACTAAGCATGTTTATCAGTATCTTGTAGGTCCTTCTTTACTCATTTAAAATTGGTTATTAGTGAGCTAACTCTGTGTGCGTATCTTCTAGGGCTAGTTATATATATCCAGATTAAGCCTAAGCCTAGACTAAAAAAAAATCACCATTAGCCCTGCAGTTTGGTCGAAGACTAGGCATAGCCTCTTTCTGCAGCCCTGCTACTGACCATTCCACCAGTGGACTTGTATATTTTTAGATAATAACTCCATGAAGCTCTCTGCTTGTGAAATGTTGTGTGTGTTGAGCTGCTAGGGAGCAATGAGGAGTGAAAGGTGAGGGGTGAGAACCCTCTACTCCCAAAACAATTCACTTCTCTCCACCTGCCAATGAGCTCAACTGATGGAGCTCCAAAACAACAGGAAATCATATTTTAGGGCCACTGTCAGTTTAGACATCAGTTTAGACTCAACTGATGTCCAGGAAAACAGCTCCTCATGTTGGCTTGCCCAGCTAATTTAAAGTGAAATTGTCCAAGAGCGAAGCAGTTCTCTGTCTATTCAGACAGATTTTCTTTTCCACTTATGCTATATGGCCAAAAGTCTGTGGACACCTGACTATTGCACCTCTATGAGCTTGTTAGACTTCCCTTTCCAAAACCATGGACATTACTATGGAGTTGCCCCCTTTTGCAACTATAACAGCCTCCAATTTGATTTTGGAGTGTGTCTGTGAGAATTTGTGCGCATTCAGTCAAAAGAGCCTTTGTGAGCTGATGTTGGATGGGAAGGCCTGGCTAGCCATCTACATTACAGTTCATCTGGCTTCATTTTGGCTATATAGTTTATTTGCCACTACCTGTGCTACTGAACTCAGCTAACTCTGGACTGTTTACAGTGAAATAGTTTGTAGGTCATAAGAAATGCAGCGATAAAACATATAATCTATATCCACTGCATCTCCACAGACGCCCCTGAAGATGTTAAAATAGATGGAGCAGATAGAAGTGTGGTTGAGGGTGGTACAATCTCACTCATGTGTCCTAGTAAGAGCAACCCTGAACCAACTGAGTACAAGTGGCTTGTTAACCAAAAGGGTTCCACGACGACCCACACAGCACCAAAATCGTTTCCCCTTAAAGCTGTCAAACGAGACACATCAGTGTCCTGCACTGCCCGTAACTCTATTGGAAGAGGTCAATCAAAGCAAGTACTGCTGAATGTCCATTGTGAATATTTCCTTATTTATTTTGATATTTTATTTAAAGTCCCTGTCAAAAGTCCCTGACTGAACCTCTGAACACATGGGCACAGGTAGATCTCAGACCCCTTCCCTATAGAAGTGCCACTTTTGTTGGTGTGTATAATAATTGTGTTTTATATGGCAGTTGTTCAAGATTCATTTCAGCAAGCCTCAGCTAGAGCTCCTGAGTCCAGCTTCATTGTACTTGGCTGCCCCCTCTGGTGTAGTTCCGACTATAAATGCACACCTCAACACAGCACTGGAAATCCCGCAAATGAAACAGCAAGCAATAACATCTTTTTAAGAAAGAATCACATTCAGAGGTGTATGATGCATGATCTTCTGGTTAGAAATGAAAGAATTAGCATTCCAATGTCAGGAGAAGACAGGCTAAAATATGGTGTTTGTGCTGCTGTGAAAAGTGTCACTGTGTAAAGTCAATAATCAATATATTGATGAAAATATGATGACAATAGTAGATCATTCACTCACGTCCGTTACCAATCTTGATTGATTTCTCTTTAAATTCTGTTTCAACATACTTGCAATCATCAGATTCATCCTCTGGGTGAAGGGGTTCTCACGTCGACTGCAATTACACATTTCCACCAGAGAGGTCTCCAAATACTGTGGTCATTTTGAAAATAATCAAACATAATGTTGGCAATGAGGGGCACTGATAACTTGACTAACCAAGTTTTTGTTATTGTAGAAAAAAACCCAAAAAACAGGGATTTATGCTCACAGGTTCACCGTTATAAATGTTTCTGTGTATACTGGTATTTCCAATGATATTTTAATGGCTTTACTTCTTGTGTAAATATTTCTTTGCTTTTTAAATTATAATATTTATATGGTTCGTTTTTGTGAAGAGAGTTTGTGAAGGACAGAGTTTATATTTATTATCTTTAGTATTATATATATTGCCTATTCAGTAGCAAGTAACAAACTGTAACATTGTTAATTAATAAGGTTATCTTATTTTTATTTTATATATATTTCATATTTACTATATATTTATTGTATTTATAGAGATAATGTAGGTTGCGAATATTAAAATAATTTTAAAAATGAAAGAAAAAAGTCAAAATAATTAGAGTGATTCTAAGTGGAAAAACATAGAGGATCATATTTAAAGTGAAATTATACTATGAATGTAATGCAAATGGTTTGTTGGCTATTTTGTGCTGTAAGTGTTAGCCAGGCTAGTCTTTCTAACTGTGATTAGCATGTCACAATATAGCCCTTAGCATTAGTGGCACTGGAGCATCTCCTCCAGCTGTTAACATGAGCAAAAAGAAGAAACCCAACCTAATTTGAACATTACCTTATTCGGTGCTCTGAAGTGGAGCTTATCATCAGTGAGGCTGTGCGAACAGAGCAAGGCAGCAGAGTCCAGTAAAGATCTATGAAAGGTGCATCTTTCTGTAGTCATCACGCCCATATCAGGAACTCCAGGTCTAAACTGGTTTTCTCTATGATATCAATGAATTGCATTGAAAATCATTGTGGTCATGGCCTGTGGTCATTTAAAATGTCCCAAAGACGAGACATTTTGTCCTTTTACAGGATTCCCTGAATTACGAGGCTGTTCTGCAGTCAAATTACAACTACAAACAAATTCCAAGCAAGTGCTCATTTCAAATCAATATGTATGAAAGTAAGTCTACTATTAACTTCAACACTATTATATACCAGCACCAGCTACTCCAACTGCAGCCTAAAACTGCCGAAGACTTCAAACTACCATATTGACAAAGCTTGCTGGTTTTTGTAGGATACTGTGGTGAAGTTATCAGTCTTATTATGTCTATTCAGTGTTCCTAATATAGGCATGATGGCAACTACAGAATGATGACAAGAGATCTATGAGACTTGTTCACTTCAGAGTAATGAATAGGCGGTATGGCATCACACCAGCACTTTAGATCAGGGGTCTTCATCTCTGGTTCTGGAGGGCCGGTGTCAAAAAGCACCTACTAGTCCATTAACAGATGAGTTGAATCAGGTGTGTTTGAGCGAGAGCCAGAGTTAAAGACCCCTGCTTTAGAGAACTGAAGTTTGTGATAGTAAGAACACCAGTGTGTTTTTATGCTTCATGAATCTTTGGCCCTGGTTAACATGTTGAGCAGTGCAGCATTAAGACTAGTCATGCCTGGCTATCCTGTCTCTCAGTTCATCCTGGTGAACTCAATGTGCTCTGGGTCAGCTGGAGGTGTCCGGTGTGTGTGTCGAGTGGAAGCAGCGCCCAAAACTAACGTTTCCTGGACAGTTATTGGGAGGAGGATATAGATGCAACAGTGCTCTAAGTGCTCCACCTAATACGGTAGCATTCAATGGCATGAAATACACCTACTGTTACTATGATGACCGCAGTACAATGATGCAACCATAACATCTCATCGATGCTGTGGGATGACTGGAGGTGTCAACAGAACATTTACAGAGTGTTAAACTAGATTAGATTAAGTGACCCTTATTAGTCCCACAACGGGGAAATTTCACCTCCGCATTTTACCCATCCATGCAGTGAAACACCACATACACACTAGTGAACACACATACTGGGGGGCAGTGAGCACACTTACCCAGAGCGGTGGGCAGCCCTATCCACAGGGCCCTGGGAGCAGTTGGGGGTTAGGTGCCTTGCTCAAGGGCACTTCAGTCATGTCCTGTCAGCTCAGGGTATCGAACCGGCAACCTTCTTGTCACAGGGCCTAACCTCCAGCCCACGACTGCCCCTGAAAGCTACATGCCCATATGCCCACATTTGGCACAGGGTTGAATTGTGTGAGCGTTGGTCACTGCTTTCTGTTCTATTTTATTTTATTTAAAAATAGGGCTGGATCCACGTAAATAAGTTCCAGGATGCTTTTGTTCCAGATATGAGAGGTGCTAGATCTATTTCCAGCAGGATCCAGCACAAATTAAGCACTGCTTGTCTGTCAAAATGCATCGGCTTTGGAACATTTTATTTTTCCATAGGGCATGATAAGAGCGATTTTCCAAACCACAATTCATTTCTGTCATAGAGAAATCCAGCTTAGTCTGGAGTTCCTAATATGGGCACGACACCATCTACAGAATGACGACACGACTACAGAGATCTATAAGACTGGGCCACTGTGTTAGAGCGATTAATAAAGGCACTGCCCCCTCTGCTGGCAAAACCTCTCCACTGCTTCAGACTAGACTACACCAGTGCTTTAGAGCAGAGGTCTTCATCTCCAGTCCGGGAGGGTTGGGGTCCAGGCCCTACTCAAAAAGCACCTACTAAACTTTTGATGAGTTGAATTAAGTGTGTTAGAGCGATAATGCATTAGAGGAATGAAGATCAAGTCTGTGACAGTAAGAACACCAATGTGTTTCTGCTTCATGCACCTTTAGCCCTGGTTAACATGTTGAGCAGTACAGCTTTAAGACTCAGCAGTCATGTCCTGTGTGCTGTGTCTTCCTGTCTCTCAGTCCCCCCCTCCATCCTGATGAATTCAACATGCTTTGTGTCAGCTGGAGGTGTCCAGTGCGTGTGTCGAGCAGAAGCAGAGCCCCAAGCTAACATCTTCTGGATGGTTGATGGGAGCAGCGCTGTCCACCCACACTTCAACACAACGACTACATATGCTGGAAGAACAGCAGTGTCAGAGCTGACAGGACCGCGGGCCAGCAACGTGTCCTGTAAGGCGTCTAACGTTGTGGGGACAGACACTTACCAGATGCCAATCCTGTGTCCACTGTCAGAAGGTAGTGCCTTTCTAAATGGTGTGTGAGTGAAAGAACACTAGACAGACCTTCAGTCAAACTGTGTTTTCACTTGTTGTACAAGAAGCATAACAGTAAGAATGCTTCTGTTTCTCTCTCTGTTATTTAACCCTTGTGTGGTGTTGGGGTCTGTGGGACTCATTTTCTATGTTTACCAAAAGAAAAAATGATGCGATTCATTATTATTTCAACCTCAGATTCCTCACCTTTGCTCATTTTCTGTGAAGAACATATAAATTAACACATTTTCAGTGACTCCACTCTGTTCACCCCCTACACATTTATATTACACATGTGGTGCTGGGCTGAACCTGCGAGGAATAAAAGTGTGGAGGTGCTGTGTCCTTCACTCTGTTCTTCTCCTACATGGCCTGCTGTTAGTGTGTGTGTGTCTGTGTGTGTATGTGTTTGTATATCTGTGTGTGTGTGAGGGTGGACAACATGGACAGGCTGCCTACTGGCTACAGCTGCTAAAGGAGAACTCTACACTGGCCACGTGTGATATAATAAACATCTGGTATTTTTACATAAATTGTTATGACTATTGATTAAAAAACCAATAATATGGTGGGTCCACCAGACCACTGAGTAACAACAACATCAACACCACACAAGGGTTCAGCACACAGTTACATTTCCAGCTCAAAAAATGACTTAAATAGTTAAATGAGTAAATCATGTAATGCTTTAAACTGATTATCGTTCAGTTTTAAGACAAGGTTGTCCATCACTCAAACATCACTCCATTTTTTTTTTTAAGTTTTCAAAATTCTATCAGGAATTTAACTGTTTTCTTCCTTTGAGAGGAGGACTTGAGGCCTACATCATCATACACTTGCCTTGTCATGTCCTGTTGCTGAGTAATCGGCTTATGTGGTTTCAGGCACTGTAAGACATACTTTAATTTATTAAAATGGACAAGAAAAAAACAGACAAAATTCACGCTTCAGAATGGCTACTACTGTTATTAGCTTTGCTAATGTACTTGTGTCATTTTTTATAGACCACAGTTTGCCATAGTGTCAGAAACTACATAAGCAAGTCTAAGAGAACTTAAGAATTTGACAATTTGTGGCAAATGTGTGATGATTTAGGCATGTCAGTTAGCACAGTGCTGCTCGGTGACCATAAGTTTCCACGAGCTACATTAACCTCTAAGTTCCAGTGCAAAACTAAAGAAGTAAACTTAAGACACCAAACATGTGTTGCCATAATTACGTGAGAAAAAGTGCAAAACTGTATAAATTTAATTCATGGATTCTTGCTTTAAGTCTTTTTTCCATCATTTTCAGGAAACACTGGATTGATGGTAGCTGCTGTAGTGGCTGTGGTGTGCATCATCCTAGGAATTGCTGTGGCAGCTATCTGCTTAAAAAAGAGGTAAAGTTTATTATAGACATGTGTCATAGGCCCAATCCCATTACACCCCTCACCCCAACCACTTACCCCTTACCCCTCCATTTTGCACGTCCACGCCTAGAGGTAAGGTGTCCCAATTTTTGATGAGATAGAGGGGTAGAGTGAAGTGTTAGGGCTACATGGCCCTCCAAACAGAGGTTTTTCAGAGGCACACTCTAAACAGAGTGTTATGAGAAAAAAAGGAAAAACCGGCAAGATGGCTGAACAAGCGACCAAAGAAACCCACAAATGTGAGAATTTTCTCTGTTAAAAAATTACATAATTAAAATTTTTATTATTAGTGTATTATTATGTATTATTAGTGTATTATCAATTCCAAGAGGCAAAGTGACACTCGAAAACAAGGGGTAGGGGTACCAATAAGAAATGGGATTGGGCCTTAGTCCTGCTAGTGTTGACTGACAGGACTGCTTATCTCCTTTGCATCATTCACTCTGTTATCATTACAATTATTACTGCCATCTTAACCAAATGGCACAGTGAAAAATCTAATTTACACAATTATCCACTTACTCCAGATTTTAATCTCCTTTGTTTGCAGACAAAACCTCTCAACTCAAACCACACTAAGGTCATAATTAAGGACATGACCATGTAGATGGCAGCCATTTTAGACAACAGGCGTTGCGCTAAATTCTGACTCCTCTTAGTCGTACTGTGTCCTAAACCAAGTCTTTATGTCCTTAATGAAGAGCTGAATGTGATTTGACTGGGTTGAAATACGTTTTGGGGAAGTACTTAGGAAAAACATTTTGGGTGACTATTGACTTCTAGTGTTAGTTAGCAACGGAAGCCTGATAGCTCCTGTTACATCCCTAGGATGTTTGTATTGTTTTGCTTTTTCTTTCATTCTCGCTCTCGCTTATTAGGAACCCGCCCACTCGTGCATGTGATTTACTGGAGTCCCGGAACGATGCTTGCATCTGATTGGCTGGCTGTGATTGCATGGGGTATATCTTCGAAGGCCGCGCTGGATGTCATCAAGGCTTTCCTCCATGGCGACTTGGGGCGATTGTTTTTAGATCTGAATCGCAGCTCAGAAATGTTTGTTTTATGGCTAGTGTGTATTGTCTGTCCTCATCTCAAATGAAATAGCTTAGCTTTACCTCTTGTTCTCTACCCAGTTACCTCTACTGTTTAGCGGTAAGCTCATGATCTTTCTCTGTAAACTTTACTCACTCTTATGCCAACCAGGTTGTAGGAGTGGGTGCCATTTCTTTTGACCTTGTTTTCTCCTGTTTTTGGTATAGTCAGGGAGTTGGGGAAGACTGGCTGTATTTTTGTTTCTTTAATTGTACATAGGTAAGTTAGTTCTCTAAAATCTCTAGCTAGGCTGGCTATGTTTGTTGTTGCCCACTCTGATGCTGTCCTGTGTCATGTATACAAAAGAGCAGCACAAAAGGAAAATAACATGACTTGATCTGTTCAAACGTCATCTGGCTCTCTTTTGTCTTTTTTTCATGTTTTGATCACCACAAACCCCTAGACAGGTCGTAATATACATTGGGGGCTCGTTCTCTTTTGGTTGTGCTGGGTAGTCGTTGGCTTGGCTGTTTCTTGTGTGTGTGGGGATGGGTCTTGGGCTGTGATGTTTCCATTAAGTGCGTTTATTAGTGCGCCGTCCGTAGAACAGTTTGAGCTGTGTCGTAACGCTGATTTATTGCAACTCGCCCAGCATTATGATATTGGGTGACGGAGATTTTGAATAAATATTCCCTTAATCAGTAATCAAATAGATTAGATGTTGTAATCAATAACCAAATAGGAAGTATTGCCTAACAGAGAATATTAATTCTCTCACAAAGGGTCGGCCTTAGTCTGTCTGCATAGGAGATTCTAGACACTGGAAAGCAGCTGGGTTCACAGAGAGGCCTGTGTGTACCTACTGACCCAGTGAAGAGAGGGACAAGTTGACCTTGAAAGGTAGAGCAGGCTGGTAAAAACCTGTTGAAAACCAGTTTTGAGGAGTGAGCTCATCATGTGATGGTCAAATTGATGGACAAAGAGATGCACCTATTAGAGAATGAGCTAATATCAAAATTTGAGAAGTGAGGCGGGGGGATATCACATTATCCCAGATAAATGGTATATAAACTGTTGTGTGGAACACTGTATTTGCGCAGTAAAGAAGAAGCCTTTTTCTCCCTTCCACAACAACTCAGTGGCTGAAGTCTTTTACTCTACTTTCTTTTATTTTTGATTGAATACCCTTTTCTGTTTTTGTTTATTTTATTTTTGTTTATTTTTGTAAGTGATTAAGACAATAATTAGAATAAAACCACAGCACAGAATAGTTTAGATTTTAAAAACCATCATATGTCAGGGCTTTAGGCAAGGAAGCAAATAGCTCTTGGTCCCAACAGTAGCCTGAGCAGAAAGTTTGAAAGATGTATCAACAATAACTAATGGAGGCAGGACTTATCAGCATTTTGCAAACGGTTAACTCACAGCAGATAAGTAGTGGTAATATGCACATTGCTAAAACCATGTTACAAGCAAGTTAACACTCCTATAGTAAGCCTAATACTGTATTTCTCCTGTACAACACTATTACTATACCAACATCAGCTACTCAAACTGTACTGTACTACTGTGAAAGTAACTTAACCCCACATTTGACAAGGCTTTCTGGTTTGTGTGGGGTATTTTAGTGAAGTTAACAATTATGATGTCAATTCTATGCACAGGAACATCAGCTTGCACATAGAAATATGCACATTTGAACTCATTAATAACCTCGCAATTCAGAAGATCTAGCGACATTTGGACGAAAAAAGAGCATTAGCGGCTATTTTCAAGAATGCCATTCGTTTATCCAATAGAGAAAAAGGCAACACTTGCAACCTCCGCGGCTTGAAACAGGCTCGCACCTCAGAGACTTCACCTGTTGTAGAGTCTCTCTACTGACTTTTTTGGCCATGGGTGCATAGGAAGATGTGCAGACATGTTATTTGTGCTAACCTTTGTTGGGGTGAGGGCTAATTAAGCAGTGCTACGTGGCTACCATGTACAGGAAATGTGTGGTCAGAAGTGACCTGCCTGCTTTTAGGCCGTCTGCTTCTAGAGCAGCGGTTCTTCCTCCTCAAGGCTCAGTAAAAGAGCTTTCATCTATATTGCTATGTTTCCTGTGTCTTCTTTTACGCTGACACCACAATATACACAAAAATAGCTTATTGCAAGCACACCGCCTCGTGTAAAGAAAAGCTTTTACTGAAATGTGCGTTTTGTTTGACTTTGATGCCCATCAACTAATCATTCACCCCTTTCACAAAATGAACAGGGAAACCACTAAACTATGCAGTCCTTTGACTTGCTCATGTGGTTTCTGAAACTGTCAAAGAGCAGTGCTAAACTGGCACTGCAGTGCTGGTAATTACCACCGTAGAGGGATACAGTGTTCTGTGAACTCAAAAGTCAGAAACCAGCTTCCAATCTGGGCTTAAAAAAATTGAAATTGTGGTTGCAGAAGTATTTATTTCACTTATTAGTAGTTGATCTTGTAGTTAATCACATCATACTCTAATGGTTTTTGGTTGCCCTCTCTATGTACACGAAAACTGTGCGACTTTTCAGAAGACTCTCATGTTGATGGGAAATGTGTTAGTGTGCTACACAATAAAGGAGTTTAGCATCTCCTCCTTCCATTTGGACGTAAAATGTATCACTCGGTTTCTTAGACCATTTTTTACTGCCTTTGGGATTGCAGGCTAGCACACACATTTAAGAGTGAGATGACCGTTTGTCCATCCTTCCACTGTGAGAAGACGAATTACTGCTATCATCTCATTTCATTTTTGCAGGAAAAAAGTTTTGCAACACCTACATCACCCATGTAAAAACGTACTTGCCCTCCACAACTGCATCCAAACCCTTTCTATAACTGGAGATCAGTCTTTCACATCGCTGTAGCAGAATTTCGGTCCACTCTACTCTGCAGAATTTCTTTACTTCAGCGAAATTGGAGGGCTTTCCATTATGAAGTGTCCATTCAACATCCTGCGACAATAGAGGTCAGGACTTTTGATTGGGCTATTCAAAACCTTAATTTTGTTTCTTATGAGCTATTCAGAGGTGGACTTGGTCTTGTGCCACACCATCACACTACCACCACTATGTTTCACTGTTGGAATGGTGTTCTTATTGTATAATGCTGTGTTGACCCCTGTCTTCCAAAAAGTTCCACTTCCGCCTCAGGACAGGGCATTATTCCAAAAGGCTTGCGAGTCATCAAGGTGTTTTTTGCGTCAAGCCTTTTATTTATGTTCCTCTTGGCTACTATTTGTTTTCCCCTTACAACTTACCCAAAAATACCAGGTATGTTCTCTTTCTAAAGGTGGGATCATGAATGCTCACCTTATCTTAGGTGAGCGAGGCCTTCTAGTTCTTGTAGGTTCTTGTGTGGCCCGTTTTTCTTTTTTTTTAGGCCCGCCACTTCTGGGAAGAACTATTGTTCCAAATGTTCTCCATTTAGAGATAATGGCTCTCACTGTGGTTCACTGGAGTCCGAGAGCCTTAGAAATGGCTTTGTAACCCTTTGTAAACTGATGGATTTCAATAACTTTCTGTCTCATCTCTTCCAGAATTTCTTTTGTGGGAGTCTTGTTTGTTGAGACTTTTTAAGTGATGCTTAGAGCACTCAAGCCTGTGTGCTTCTTTTTTATTTGATCTCAATTATTAATTAAGTTTGGTTAACTGGTTCACTGAGTAACTAATGGGCAACTACTTTTTCACACAGGGCCATGTAGTGTTGGGCATGTTATTTCATTCAATAAATGAATTGATCATTTCTTTTGGTTGTGCTGGGTAGTCGTTGGCTTGGCTGTTTCTTGTGTGTGTGGGGATGGGTCTTGGGCTGTGATGTTTCCATTAAGTGCGTTTATTAGTGCGCCGTCCGTAGAACAGTTTGAGCTGTGTCGTAAGGCTGATTTATTGCAACTCGCCCAGCATTATGATATTGGGTGACGGAAATTTTGAATAAATATTCCCTTAATCAGTAATCAAATAGATTAGATGTTGTAATCAATAACCAAATAGGAAGTATTGCCTAACAGAGAATATGAATTCTCTCACAAAGGGTCGGCCTTAGTCTGTCTGCATAGGAGATTCTAGACACTGGAAAGCAGCTGGGTTCACAGAGAGGCCTGTGTGTACCTACTGACCCAGTGAAGAGAGGGACAAGTTGACCTTGAAAGGTAGAGCAGGCTGGTAAAAACCTGTTGAAGCCAGTTTTGAGGAATGAGCTCATCATGCGATGGCCAAATTGATGGACAAAGAGATGCACCTATTAGAGAATGAGCTAATATCAAAATTTGAGAAGTAAGGCGGGGGGATATCACATTATCCCAGATAAATGGTATATAAACTGTTGTGTGGAACACTGTATTTGCGCAGTAAAGAAGAAGCCTTTTTCTCCCTTCCACAACAACTCAGTGGCTGAAGTCTTTTACTCTACTTTCTTTTATTTTTGATTGAATACCCTTTTCTGTTTTTGTTTATTTTATTTTTGTTTATTTTTGTAAGTGATTAAGACAATAAAACCACAGCACAGAATAGTTTAGATTTTAAAAACCATCATATGTCAGGGCTTTAGGCAAGGAAGCAAATAGCTCTTGGTCCCAACAGTAGCCTGAGCAGAAAGTTTGAAAGATGTATCAACAATATCAAGGACTTATCAGCATTTTGCAAACGGTTAACTACACAGCAGATAAGTAGTGGTAATATGCACATTGCTAAAACCATGTTACAAGCAAGTTAACACTCCTATAGTAAGCCTAATACTGTATTTCTCCTGTACAACACTATTACTATACCAACATCAGCTACTCAAACTGTACTGTACTACTGTGAAAGTAACTTAACCCCACATTTGACAAGGCTTTCTGGTTTGTGTGGGGTATTTTAGTGAAGTTAACAATTATGATGTCAATTCTATGCACAGGAACATCAGCTTGCACATTGAAATATGCACATTTGAACTCATTAATAACCTCGCAATTCAGAAGATCTAGCGACATTTGGACGAAAAAAGAGCATTAGCGGCTATTTTCAAGAATGCCATTCGTTTATCCAATAGAGAAAAAGGCAACACTTGCAACCTCCGCGGCTTGAAACAGGCTCGCACCTCAGAGACTTCACCTGTTGTAGAGTCTCTCTACTGACTTTTTTGGCCATGGGTGCATAGGAAGATGTGCAGACATGTTATTTGTGCTAACCTTTGTTGGGGTGAGGGCTAATTAAGCAGTGCTACGTGGCTACCATGTACAGGAAATGTGTGGTCAGAAGTGACCTGCCTGCTTTTAGGCCGTCTGCTTCTAGAGCAGCGGTTCTTCCTCCTCAAGGCTCAGTAAAAGAGCTTTCATCTATATTGCTATGTTTCCTGTGTCTTCTTTTACGCTGACACCACAATATACACAAAAATAGCTTATTGCAAGCACACCGCCTCGTGTAAAGAAAAGCTTTTACTGAAATGTGCGTTTTGTTTGACTTTGATGCCCATCAACTAATCATTCACCCCTTTCACAAAATGAACAGGGAAACCACTAAACTATGCAGTCCTTTGACTTGCTCATGTGGTTTCTGAAACTGTCAAAGAGCAGTGCTAAACTGGCACTGCAGTGCTGGTAATTACCACCGTAGAGGGATACAGTGTTCTGTGAACTCAAAAGTCAGAAACCAGCTTCCAATCTGGGCTTAAAAAAATTGAAATTGTG